GGTAAATATATTGTTCGATAAACTTTACATCTGCTGAAAGATTTCTTCTTTTTACCAGCATCAAATCAGCCAACTCATACATAAAACCCTACATTTAAACCATTTGAATTATTTTTTATATTCCTGCTTATTATATTGAATTGAAATTAAACTTGTGGATTTGATTGACCTAATCTTTATTTATTTATTCGTACAAATGCAAATTATTTCCTCACTCTTGTTGCCAGTAACTCAGAAGTTGGTCAATGTTTTCTGCAACTTCAGGCGGGACATTGTGTAACAGGGAGGTAACTGTGAGTAGGTTAAAGGGTCACATTGCATAGAAAACATGCAGGTATGCAGGTACACACACATGCAGGTACACACACACACACACACACACACACACACACACACACACACACACACACACACACCACACACACACACACACACACACACACACACACACACACACACACACACACACACACACACACACACACACACACACACACACACACAGAGAGCGACGTGATTGGCCTCACCTGACCTACAGTCCCCGGCGGAGGCAGAACATCTGAAGCTGATTTAAGTGGTAGAGCAGCAGACGTGCAGCTGCACTGTGGGAGACCGACCTGAGGTCACAGGTTCAATTCCCACAACAACCACACGCTCTGTTGAAGTGCTCTTGAGCAAGAAACCAAAAACCCATCTGCTGAGATTCTTTGAAAGCTTAAAGAGTCCCTATAGAGTGCCGCAGTGACGCATCCTAAAACCCGGAAGTAAGTTAGCATTTTACCACTTCCTTCACCAAAAAGCAATGCTATTTCTCCATAGGATTTTGGAAAATAGATCAAAATAAGGTCTTTGGTTGAGACACATTGAAGAGACGGATCACGTTTTGTTCTACGACATTAAATCCATCAGCAGTGACCCCACTGGTGATTTCTGAAGAGTTGACGTGTCTGAAAAACGATGGTTGTTACCAAGTGGCTGAATAGGACTACAGAAGTTGTCGAGGACGTTGTACATCATTACACCGAACACGTAAACACTCTAAGTTTTTTCCCCCGTGTTCTGCTTGAAAGCAAGTACCTGCAAACTGTTAAAACAAATGCTTCAACTTGTACAATTTAGAATCTGTATTTTTGAATATGGATCTTAAGTTGGCGTGACGTTGAAGCAGCGACCCTGCTGTAGTTAGTTTATAGCATAACGTTAGCATTTTGCTTCTGGCGACTAGATTTATGATTCGAAAATTATAAAAGTAGGGTAGACATGTGGAGATTATCCGGCTGAACAAAACGTGATCCGTCTCTTAAATGTGTGTCAACCACAGACCTTAGTTCCAGCTATTTTCCTAAATCCTATGGAGAAATTGTATTGCTTTTTTGTCGAAGGAACCGGAAGGAGTTTACTTCCGGGTTTTAGGACACGTCACTGTGGCACTCTATAGAGTGGCGAAGTCACGCCCATCTACCATGGGCTCAGAACAGTCTCATAATACATACATGCACACAGAAGGATTCAAACTTGTATTTCCGGATCCATACTTGTGTTTTTCAATGCACACACAAATGTATTCCGTTTCATATACATGTAAATAAAATCCAAATACAGAAAAAAGTTTTACATGTGTATTTTTGATCCTCACTTATTAGTTTCCTGTTTAAATCCTCTGAACCTGCAAACACAAACAGCTTTGTGTGCACGGATCGCTTTGCAGTCGTGTGTGGGTTTTATGAGACTCCCCTGACGGTCAGCCGATTCGTACATGTAATTGTTTCTATCTATAGCCAATCAGATGTCTCCTTCATTCTAAGCCAATCACATGAGCGCGCCCCCACGAGGGTAAGATTACTTCATATACGCATGTTGCGCAGTCCGGTCAGCTCGCTAAACAGAGGGCGGAGCTTCAGATGATCATGCAGAGCAGCGTGTCTCCATCAGACTCAGCAGCTGATCTGATCTCTCTCTTGCTTCCGGTTATACTTCACTCGCGTTTATGTCCATATCGATCAGATCCAGCTCTCCTGATCGGCCTTTATAGAGAGCACCGATCAAACTATTAAGAGTGAATATCGGCCGATAATGACCGGCGGGGCTCCCCCCGTTAACAGGTCACTGTCTAGCACTGGCTTCGTAGTGCACTGATCGATTAGGCTAAGCTAACCTGTAGCTGCTCCCTCCACACTCACAACAACTTCATACAGACATAAATAAAGCAGCTGTATTCGCAATCGCCACGCAGGAAACACACATTTAAAACGGTTTTGCCTGCCGTTTTTGTGTACACAAGCATTCATCAATGGTTTGGAAAGTGGCGCTGTACCTTAATAATATAAAAGATTGTATTTGCGTGCATTTCCTGTTCGGAAAGTGGCGCTGTACTGAGAGTGTGTGAGGGAGGGTGTCCTGAGATTAGCGCCTTTCCGTGCACAGAAAGCTGTTTGTGTTTGCAGGTTCAGAGGTTTGAAACGGAAGACAAATATGTGAGGATCAAAAATACACATGTAAAACTTTTTTCTGTATTTGGATTTTATTTACAGTTATATGAAACGGAATACATTTGTGTGTGCATTGAAAAACACAAGTGTGGATCCGGAAATACAAGTGTGAATCCTTTTGCGGATCATGAAATACAAGTGTGAATCCTTTTGCGGATCATGAAATACAAGTGTGAATCCTTCTGTGTGTATGTGTGTATTATGAGACTGTTCTGAGCCCATAATCTACTTCCGGTCCATGAGACCTTATTTCGGAAAAATTATGCATTGAAGTCAATGAAGAGAGAAAACTTATCTTTCGATCCCGTTTGAATTGTGCCATGAATTACACATATGATGTTTGTCAATCTATATGGCGCTGGCTAAGATAAGATAACTTTAACAAGATGCCTGTGTGCTTAGTACCAGGTTGTTATCATACCAGCAATGGGTCTTGATGAAAGGACTGGATCAAGTTAGCTACCTAGCACGTTAGTTAGCATTACAGCCTTGTCATTTTTATTAGCCTTAACATGAAGTAACATTAAGTAACCCAAAATGTTAAATAGTAAGAGTGGTAGTCATATTTATTTAACCCTTTGAAGAGTACTGTCACACCGGTGTGATCATTCTATAATACACAATTTAAGCCCGGGGGAGAAATGCTAACGCTACATTAGAATCTGCGATCTTTTCTACTTCACGCTATCTGCACAAATGGTTGGCAGGCAGGCAGGCAAATTGACAAACATCATATGTGTAATTCGTGGCACAATTCAAACGGGATCGAAAGATAATCTTTCTCTCTCCATTGACTTCAATACATAATTTTTCCGAAATAAGGTCCCATGGAGGTCCACCGGAAGGGGAGGGACTTCGCCACTCTATTGCTTTTCGAGGGTTTCTCTTCCCTGTAGTGTGTTCTATAGGTTGTTGTGCATGTAAATGGCGTAGAAAGGCTAAAAACCCAAAGTTCCGGAACATGGTGACATCACTATGCGTTTCTATTGTAGTAGAAGTAAATATTTTATTGAAGAAAGCTGCAGAACTTTTACATTTTTTTTGCCTCAAGTTGCAAAAAGTGCCTCAGTGTCATCGAGGTGAAAGAGCGCCTTCTGTTTGTTTGTTGATTTGTTGATTGTCATGTGAACAACAGTGTGTCAACTTTAGACTTATTGTGGAGGAAGTCAGACTCATCATGATCCGGAAACGTCAGTATGTTCTCTTCAGGGGGAAAGAAGTATCGCCGACTTGTGATAACAATAACCCAGAAAAGCTTGTTTCTATTCTGATATTTTCTCCGATGACCTTAACTGACTCTCCATTGTTCTCTGTGCTGAGTTGGATTGAATTCAAAGTTAAATCTGATTATCTAGAAAAAAAAGTTATTTCTGAGAAGCCATAAATGTTTTCTTCGCTGATTTGAACATAAATGGGAACACATACTGATCATCTGTTATCATGATTTAAGAAAGTCCCTCTTTTCTAAAGAGATCAGATACTGTGGTTTAACTGAATGAATGTAAAAATCCCAGAAATTACCCAAAAAGCATCCAAACTTTGGTTAAGACAGCCACAACTTTCCCAGAAAGACACAAAAGGTGACAGTTATTAGCTATTAATGGTGAGAAATTGTGTTTTTAATGCTTCCAATTTCTGTTCATACTTGTGTTTAGTGCCTCTACTGTGACAGTGGTCGCCCATGTACATATAAGACACTACAGGAAAGAGAAAACTAAATAACAATGCCTTTAATTCCAGATATTAGCTAAAGCATGCTTCCAAAGAGCAGCTTAACGTGAGAGGTGTCTCCACGCGTTCACAGCTTCTCCTCTGGAGGAAGAACAGCATCTGCTTTGAGTTACAGAGCCACTTTACAGTGGAGTTCAGTTTCAGACACAGAGACGCTTTCTGCTGCACCTGATCTGCTGACCTGCAGACAAACACACGGGGATTATTTACCCTCCGCTCAGTTTCCTTATCCGGACAGCGCTGCAGCATTTAGGACGATTATTATAGCATTTATTATTATTCTGCAACACTGTTTTGCACCAAGAAATGCAATTATAGTTCCTTTATGCTACACAAGAAAAACAGTTAAAACACACACACACATACACACACACACACACACACACACACACACACACACACAGACACACACACACACACACAGGTGAGGTGATTATAACAGGTGTCATCAGCCTGTTGGCATGGTTCCCATGGCTACGCTATGTTCCACCCGGCTAAATCCTGAGAGGCCAAAATAACAACAATACATTTGAAAATAATGCATTTAAACTCACCTTTCACACATGAAACACTTTTATATCTGAGGATAGTTGCCCAGTTATTTTTAAGACATAAAACTGTCTTTATAACTGTTTAATACATTGAAAACCATGAAGATACCTGGTTTAAATGATCATATATATCAGATTTGTTGACGAATTTGAGGTATCAGCTTCTCACATTGGATAATTTGCTTGTTAACTTCTGTGTTTTAATGTCTTTTCCTTCTTGTTTTCACAGACCCAAACCTCCTCCTCCCGATGGCATCAAGTCAAACCCATCCAAGCGGCATCGCGACCGCCTCAACGGCGAGCTGGACAAACTCACGAGTCTGCTGCCGTTCACCGAGGATGTGCGAGCGCGCCTCGACAAACTGTCCGTGCTGCGGCTCAGCGTCGGATACCTGAAGGTCAAGAGCTTCTTCAACGGTGAGTGCTCCAATCCTGAAACAGCGATTTCATCTAGACAACCTGGGAGATCCTATTTACAGCTGTGTGTGTGTGTGTGTGTGTGTGTGTGTGTGTGTGTGTGTGTGTGTGTGTGTGTGTGTGTGTGGTGTGTGTGTGTGTGTGTGTGTGTGTTGTGTGTGTGTGTGTGTTGTGTGTTTGTGTGTGTGGGTGTGGTGTGTGTGTGTGTGTGTGTGTGTGTGTAGGTGTGTGTGTGTGGTGTGTGTGTGTGTGTGTGTGTGTTGTGTGTGTTGTGTGTGGTGTGTGTGTGTGTGTGTGTGTGTGGTGTGTGTGGTGTGTGTGTGTGTGTGTGTGACCAGCTGAGAGGCTATATCAGTGCAGGACTGTGACATTTGGCCCTTGTGGCTTACCGTAAATGTGCTGCTGACCTCTTCAGCAGGAGGTGTGAAGAGGAGGGAGAGCACACCTGCTCTGTGCACGTGTTCGCAGTGCGAGGATGTGCAGAAAGTCAATACCCGACAGGATATGCAGTGGGCTTGGTGTGTGTTTAAAGTGCAACTTTCGTTTGGTCTGTAAAGGTCAGAAAATAGTGGACAATGTTCAGATAAATTCAGTTTGATATGATATTGAACCAGAAAAGTATAAGCCAAAAACACACGTTAGTCACCCTAACGTATGGAGCCCCACCCATTTCCTGTGGTGGCCCCTGCAGCACCCCGGGCCCCTTTTCCTCCGACTGTTTGGCCCCTCTTTACTCCGACTGAAGTTCACAGCTCCCCCCCCCCCCACCTCAAACAAACGCTGCAGGACTCCTGTTTGTTGTTACAGCGGGGAGGCTGTTCGCACGGCACCGGGACACTCACCGCTTTATGCATTCATGACTCCTCTGACACACGCACACACACACACACACACACACACACACTTAAAGGTCCCCCAATTTTACCCCCTCTTCCCTGCTTCAAAAGACACCAGACTTCATTTAAAGTGCATTGTTGTCTATGTTATTATCTTTCTTATACAGATCAAACGTGGTTTTTTATTATGTAAAAGTACGTTTTTTTTACGTGTCCTGACTGCAATATCGGCCCCTTCATTTCCTGGTATCTCTTCATCATTCTCCATTATCTTTAAAAGTTGCATTCGCTTTTTTTCTGCAGAAAAATGCGGTTTGTGTTTCTCATAAAGCCGTTTATCTTGCAATGTATTCACTGCAAGTTACTTTCAACTAAGAGATGTGTGTATAGTTATAATAGTGATTTTTGTTCGTTATTTCTCTTTCTAAGTCTCTCTCTTGCTTTGTTGCTCTCTATTTGTTTAATAAAGCACTTAAACTTTCAAATAAAAAGTCAGGAATGGCTCAAAGTCAAAGAGAGCACAATTAAAGAATGAGGGAAATAAAAGTACAAGCTATAAAATAAGGGACATCATGTACCAGCAAGTCTATAACATTACAGTTACAGGGAGATTTAAAAGGTCATTCTAATATTGAGACAACGCAGCTGCTCAAGTCCAGATTCAGACTGTTTTCTTCCACTGCAGGTAACCAGAGTTTAAAGGGCCCTATTCTGCTCATTGCCAGGTTCATATTTGTATGTTGCCGTCATTAAGGGCTTTTAAACCCCTTAATGTCTCCTTTAACAATCTTGAATCCCATTTTAGAAACTAGTGATTGATCAGTTGTAGAAATACCTCTCCTCTGCATCCATAAAATACGTGATTGTTGACCCAAAGTTCAAATCTTTATCTGTAAAATGTGAATATTTAGTAGATGATTTTCCACTTTGACTGACTTTAGACAAAAATACCTACAATATGTTACGTAAAACCATGTAGGGAGAAAAGCGACAAGACAGGAAGTGGCTTTGATAAACTCAGCGCTTTTTCCTAAGTCTACATTTTCCATTCAGAAGTGCAGCATGCTGACATAATGTTGATGTTTATTCATAGCTTTAAGGTCTAAAAAGGTCTATATACTGGCAAATGTAGAAGTTGATTCATAGCTATAGGTTATAAAAAAGTGTTTGCACTGGATAGTAGCTGAGATAGAAAGCCCTGCATCATCTCCACTCTTTATTTCCCGATGCACAGACATGAGCGTGTCCTTTGTTCGCTGTGTGGCCTCGGTCCAGAAACTGAGGCCTGCAGGAGTTCCTCAATTAGATTATTCTTCATGAGGAATTCAGACAAACCACAAGACCTCCTAGGATGAGGGAGCCACCAACAAAGACGTGTGTCCTCCACTGTCATTCAAACACAGACCAGGCTTCTATCTACCCTTATAAACAATTGTATATGGAATACAATGAATATCTCCAATCAAGTTGAGTTGAAGAAGACAGAAGGATGTCAAATGGATGGGTGATTCATGCAAAAGTCATATATAGTTTTAAATACAGACATATTCTGATATTAAGATATGTTTTCAGCAGATTGTGTGATATACAGAACATAAACACGATGACACTGGACTGTATTTATGGGACCTTCCCTGAGTGTCTGCTTCGTGGTGAATCCCTCTTTGTGATCGTGGCGTTTCCAAAGGGAGTCTGTCAGACAGTGAATTTCCCAGCATGCCTCTGCGAGAACAAAGACGACCCCGGGAGTGCACAGGCTCATGGGAAGGCCAGGAAGTGGCGGAGAATGGAGCGCTCTGTGTCCCGGTCGCTCCGAGCCCCGGGACGGAGCCCGGTGGGAAACACCCGGGGGTTCGATCCCATGGCCGCCATGACAACGCCTCCATTGTTTTCTGCTCCAAACCTCCCTCATCTTCAAACTCTGATCTGTTTTTATCCTCCTCTTCTTCTTTTGACTTCATTTGACTGAAAACTTTATTGTTAACTCGCCTAAATGACTCCATACTTTTCATATATGCATCCATACAGCAGTTTGAATACACGTTTGCTCTAAGTAAACTAAAGCAGAAGGTGCTGCAGGACCAGAGCAGAGAATGTATATCAAGTAATTAATCAGGCAGGAGTCTGACTCGCTGCCGATATGTAATTTAAAATGAAGTCAATGATTCTCTCTGTGGCATTTCATTTGCGTGGGCGGCGGACATGTTTGCTCTGCTGACATTGGATAAAGAAGATTTAGCTCACCTGAGAGGCAGCAGGGATGACACGTGTGAAGGATGCACAAGAAATGAGAAAATGCTACTTTTGAGACGTAGAACTCCACGTTTTCTTGCAATATTTGCCCAGAAAACCGTGGTTTCTGATGAGGATCCTCTGTGTTTTTGAGCAGTACAGTCTCCATGTTGCGGCTGATGAGGCCCGGCAGAGGAGATTTCTGGCCGTGGAGAGAGCCGTAATTTGTGGTCTTATAATAGCTCGGCTGAACTTCCCTCCTCTGCAGGGCCTCAGGAAACACACACACACTTACATGCATGTATACACACTTTTCTCTTTGTTACACATTCAGTCATTTCTCCCCCTCTCCTCGTCCTGCATGCGTTTTCCAGATGTGTTTCCAGTCTCTCTCAGTATTCCCAGCCGATTGAAGCTACGAGAGGTCGTTGAACTTCCTGTTTCTGACCCCCAGTCTGACCTTTGACGTCAAAGGGGTCATCTTGCCACGAGGAGCATTTACAGGGGCCGTATTCTTTCCCTGGCTGGCAGCTGTTGACAGACACTAAGCGGTGTTGCAGAGACTTGAAACACAGCGACATTGATCAAGACAAAAAAGAAAAACATATCAGCGGTTTGTTCTCCAGAACATGAGTTTGTCTTGCTGCAGATTCTGTGTTGGGCAGGAGTCCCGCGCTAACCGCCACCAGGAAGCTGCTCTAACGGCGTTCAGACAGAGCAACGTGCATGTGTCCCGAGGCAAAACTGAAACTGAGCGGCTGCAGCAGATAAATCCAGAGAGGAGCAACGTTTTCACCGCGCTCATACTTTTAATGCAACTCCTGCAATATGAGCTCATTATAGTCAGATACTAGATCCCCTGGCCAATACACACCAGCAGATTTGGAAATAAACTTCATTTTTGGACAACATCCATGTTACTTTAGTATTATGGGTTTGGCCCCACACTAATCTTTTTAAACAAACTCTTGCGCTGTTTATTTGATTTACCTCTCTTCATTGTTGACTGAAAACAGCCAGCCATACTGTATCTACCAATTTAAGCAGAATTTTGAAAGGAGTGCTGGGAAGTGTCCAGTGATAACATCAGACCTGCAGACCCTCGCAGTCACAACAGCAGACACACCCTCATGTAGAGACATGTCCCTGTGTGTTGTGTGTGTGTGTGTGTGTGTGTGTGTGTGTGTGTGTGTGTGTGTGTGTGTGTGTGTGTGTGTGTGTGTGTGTGTGTGTGTGTGGTGTGTGTGTGTGTGTGTGTGTGTGTGTGTGTGTGTGTGTGTGTGTGTGTGTGTGTGTGTGTGTGTGTGTGTGTGTGTGTGTGTGTGTGTGTGTGTTGGTGTGTGTGTGTGTGTGTGTGTGTGTGTGTGTGTGTGTGTGTGTGTGTGTGTGTGTGTGTGTGTGTGTGTGTGTGTGTGTGTGTGTGTGTGTGTGTGTGTGTTTGTGTGTTTGTGTTTGTGTGTTTGTGTGTGTACATATACATACATACATACATACTGGCTCTCCTCTTCCCCGCTTTTCTTTGTCTCTGGGATTCACTTTTAATCCGCTGTCCTTAACCAGAGTCTTCCTCTTCTTCTTCTTCTTCTTTTGTTTATTCAAATCAATCATCTACATCTTCTTCTTCTCCCTTTTATAAAGTTTGAATAACCCTAATTACGTACTGCAGGCCAATCCTGACTATAGCTGCATGGAATTCTGGGGACTGCTAGGGACTGGCTGCAGAAAGGAGCAATTTCCATAGACCCCCATGTTAAAATGCCCAACTTTACAGCAGAAAAAAACATGTTTCTACCCATGGATGCAATAAATATTATTATCGATATAGTTAGATTCCACCTTCATGATTATGAATCTGTGAGTGAATTGTTTTCTAACACGACCCTTTTATTTATATTAGGTCTTAAAGTTTTTGCATAAATTAGGGCGTGGTCA